AGTAGGATCATGATGCCCATACAGTTCGTATAGAAGAAAGAAGCTTGACTACAGCTTCCATCATCCCCAGCCTGTATGCCCCCTTTTTGGATGAAATGCGGGTTGTGCTATAAAATTCTATAAATTCTACTCAATGAATCCCATCATCCACAGCTTGCAACCTGTTCAGCCAGTGGCCTACAGCAGAGGCTGGGTGGGAACAATGAAGCCCATCATCCACAGCTTGCAGCCTCTGCCTTCTGTAAAGGCAGAAGTTGGGTGGGAACAATGAAGCCCATCTGCAGCTTGCAACGTCCTCTGCAGCCAGTGGCCTACAGCAGAGACTGCGTGGGAACAATGAAGCCCGTCAGCCACAGCTTGCAACCTTCTGTACAGGCAGAGACTGGGTAGGAACAATGAAGCCCATCATGCACAGCTTGCAAACACCTGTACAACCAGCGACCTCAGCAGAGATTGGGGAGGGGGGGGGAAGAGAAACAGCTCATCCAACGGAGAAAATAAAGCAAAATATTCTTCAGAAAAAGTAGAAAAAACTTGCAGAGTTTTTTCAAACTTGGCAACTTTAAAACGGTGGATTTCAACTCCCGGAATTCCCCAGCCAGCCATGAAAAACACTGCTAATAAGGAAAATCCCCAGACCTCAACACTGAGATGATACCCTTTATTTACTTTCTTGTTAATAAAGCCTCAGAGGAATCGCACTCATAAATTGAACTCCTTGCCTTGGTGGCTGCAAAACACCAAGCCTTTGAAATCAATACACCAGAACAAAAAATAGCTTGCGGTCCTACCCAGCAAGGATAATTCAAGTGTGAGAGGGAAGCCCTTATCCAGAAGGGCCATTAAATCACCACCCTATGAGCTGTCAGAAGGACTTGCTGTAACTTTAGATTTGTCAATAACCTTTTGCCTTCATCTCTATTTTGGTCCTGCCTTGTTAGAGATACTTTCACACTTCCAAAATAGAAGTTTGAAAAGCCGCGTCACAATTTTGGCCTGGGGATACCCTGCATCCGAGCTGAGTTAGCATGGTTTCGAGATGACGGTGATTTATATGATCTTAAACTCAATGCATCCGTTGCATATGTAAAAAACCATAGAGTATAGTGAATTGGAATGGCTTCAAAATATGAAGATAAGAAAAGCCATTTAAATAATGCATTAACATAGGAACTCAATAGCAATAGCAGTTAGATTTATATACCGCTTCATAGGGCTTTCAGCCCTCTCTAAGCGGTTTACAGAGTCA